ATATGGTTCATGGGGTCACGAAGAGTCAGACACGACTTAACGACTGAACAACAACAACGACAGAGGCATTTTATTTTATCATGAGGTTCCCTGGGAATCCTTATGACACGATAGAAATCTCTGTGAAGAGCTAGTGGGAATATTTCTATGAAATGCCTCTTTATTCAGCAAATGTGGGCATCGCTTAAATAAAGAGGAAAAGACTGTTTCTTTAACGTCCTCATGGGGCTAGAGATCGACTTCTGGCATCACTGTTGCCTCGGCAACGGGTCCTGACCGCCTCCGGGAATTTCCCAGAATGCACTGAGACCCGTTTGTAGGGCGCAGCGCCGCCGTCGCCATCTTGGCCAGTAGCGCGGTTGACATCAGAGCGGTATCTCCTCCACCATGGAGGGCGGTGAGTGGACGCGGGTCAGAGGAAATAACAGGGAGGGGAAAAGGGGGCTGTCTTTCCCTTTTTAAGAGCCCTCTAAACTACCTTGTTTGCATAATTAAGTCGTACTTATATTATTGGTGATATTAACTCAAAACCCCCTCCCCTCGTATCAGTTCATCTGTACAGATAATTAAGTAAAACCAGCGCAAAAGCATGGCAGCTTCCTTGCTCCTGATACGGAATAGCCTCTTGTTCGGACGATCGTAAAGGGAAACGAGGCGTGTTTTTGAAGGAGAAGGAATTGGCATTAAAGGCTCAATATTGAGCGCTCCAGCAGTTGGAGGAGCTGGGGGGGAACTCTTACCTTTGTGTCTTCCTGGTTACATGAGAGCAGCCACCCTCGTTCAGGTGTCCACCAGATCTGTGGCTTCACAGCAGCTCATCATCCCCACATGGTGTGGTCAGTGATGTGAATTGTTGTTCCAGGTTGCGAAAGATAACATCAGATATATAAAAAGTTTGCACATAATCTGAAAAGCAGCTTCTTGGCTGTTCACAGACCTGAAAGACATGCCAGGGTCCCTAAAGTGATTGGTACTAGTTCATGCAGAATTAACCCCACTGATCTCAGCAATGCTTTGGAAGTATAGCTTGCAGATTTTCTTGTCGAAAGCCTGTCTTATGTAGAGTATGTAGTCTGAAGTTGTATGAGTGACTCTATACAGTAAATGGTCAAAGGAAAAAAAACAGTATTTTGTTCTCAGCAGGTTACTGTGGAGCTTCCATTAAGATAATTTCTCATGCTGGTCTCCTGGTAGATATCTATTATTCCTTTTGAGTTTTGTTAAACAGTATAATCAACTTCTGAAATATGAGACATTCAGATTGGTTTATATATTAAGTTGTGTAGGATTTAAAAATGCTGGTATCAGAGATACTGAATATTTTTTGAGTGTGGTACAGGTTAAATCTAAAGAATCCTAAATATTTTTTCAGTTCTGTTCTAAGTGGTATAAAAGCTTCCCATCACCAGATAGTTCATGCATGCAGTATATATTCCACACTCCTTTCTCTTTATTGCCTCAGATGATACTGGAAATCGACTTCGTTTCCAACTAGAGCTGGAATTTGTGCAGTGTCTGGCAAACCCGAATTACCTCAATTGTAAGTATCTAAAATCAGGATTTGCTTGCTGACCTCTTCAACCAAGCATCATAAAATGCAGACAGCAAATTACAAGACAAAATGTACAAAATTGAAAACAGTAAAATAATATATAGAAACTAACTAGAAATATATTAATGTGCATCCTAAATAGGCCCAAATTCATAGGTAAAATATTTTAAAATTAATATCAAAGAGGATGGCTAGCTTGAACCTTATTTATTTGTTGGATTTTGCTAAAATCTATAAGGCAGGGTACAAATGGAAGAAAATGCATCAACCCAAATTTTAAAAAATTAATATAAGAACTGTTGAAATCAGAAAGCTGGACCTTTGGTCAGGAACAGCTGTAGTGTTTTGTAGTTGTGTTTTATTGTGTGTCTTCATTGGAGAATAACAATAATTTTATTCTCACAGCAAAGATTGCTGTAAGGTTATACAGAGAAAATCTATTTTAAATTTATTTTTGCATTTCTTTTAGTTCTTGCCCAGAGAGGATACTTCAAAGACAAAGCATTTGTAAATTACTTAAAATACTTGCTCTACTGGAAGGAACCAGAGTATGCCAAATATCTAAAGTAAGAGTTTGCAGTGTTACCTCTTTGTACTAAATATGTCTAGAGTTCATAAAATACATAGCATAAAACTGTATTATTATGAAACAATTGCCAGTCCCCTCTTAACAGGTATCACCAAAATCCCTGGAGAAATGGAGCAGGATGAGAAATGATCACCCCCAGCCTCCTGCAGTTGGGTCGGTAAAAGGAGACCTCACAGATTTTTACAATGCTTATGTGTGTGGAATTCTAGGGATTTGGCCAGGAGCAGTGTCACATGCATGCAATATCCCCAAATTATTGCAGATCCTGGAAGCCTGACCATGGACTTTTTTCTAATATGCAGTACTCATTAATATGCAGGTGAAACCAAACTCTGGCATGTTTCACTCTATCTGCTCACTAGATTTTTTTTGTGAACATATATATGATCTCTCCGTATTTGCCAGAGCATCACAGTAGCTTGATAGGTGGAATTGGAACTGTATTTTTTGTATCCATGCCTGTCACAAAAGTTTAAAAAACAAGGATACATTTTAAGTACACACACACAAAGCATGTGTCCTTTTAGGATTTCTGGCCTAAGACTGGGGAGACACAGATTGAAGTCCACTTTCAGCCATCATGGGGTGACTTTGAGCCAAATTTCTTGGTAATTAGTCTTAAGATAAGAAATCTGGCTTGATGTCTCTTCATTTGTAGAGAGAGAAACAAAATGAATATTTCACAAAAAGGTATATGTGCTGTAATTCAAAATATTCACTTGCTAACCAAAAGCTGGTTTCTGAGTATGGTAGAAGTTTTATGTAACTGCAAAACAGTATTATGTTATAAATAAAGTTAACATGCATGCTTGCTCACTAAATGTACTAGAAAACTGGTAATTTGCTTCAAATTATGTGACTAGAATATTTATCAATTCCTTCCTTCCTACTTATAGAATTCAGTGTTTGTTGTCAGGGTGCTGGTAGCTTAGGAAAGCATTAAAAAAAGTAACTTAAAATATATATTTTCTATTATGAAGGTATCCCCAGTGCCTGCATATGCTAGAACTGCTCCAGTATGAACACTTTCGTAAGGAACTGGTGAATGCCCAGTGTGCAAAATTCATTGATGAGCAACAGATACTCCACTGGCAACACTATTCCCGCAAGCGGATGCGCCTCCAGCAGGCCCTTGCAGAACAGCAGCAGCAACAACAGCAGAACAGCACCTCTGTCAAGTGAGCCATTAGGCACCACAAAGACCCTCCTTGCAAGGGCGGAAGGCACCCTATGGACTTAATCTTGGCACTGTTATCTGAAATGCCTTAGAAAGTGATGCTATTAGTAAAATGTTGCTTGTGGAAATATAGCAGCTTCAGTTTGGAACTTCAGAGTTCCCAGAGACTCAACAAATGATTTCTTCAGATGTAAGAGATCCTTCTTATCCCCTCTGATTTAAAGGTGTAGATGTGTTTCTTGATACTGTATAGCAGAAGAGTATTTTGGAACATTCACTGTGAAAGAAAAGTGGCTAAACATTTGTCTTGTATGCTAGTTTGTGGATGTTAGTAAATATCTCTATTTATTCTAAGTATTCTGGCTTTCTCTTAATCCATAGGAAAGAACCTTGTAATCCTAGATCTAGTGATTTGGGTGTAAAGCATCAGCAATAACTGCAACAGGTGGAGATACAGTTCCCAGCATCACTCTTAGCCATATGGGTTGAGGCTTACTGGACAGCCACCTCTCATGGATAGTTTAAATGATTTTCCTGCACACTGTAGTGGGTTGGACTAGATGATCCTTGTAATCTCTTCCAATTCTGCAGTTAAGGTAGATACGTAGCATATAGTGGAGCGCTTTTAATGCAAATTCCCTTGCATTGCAGATTGATAGGAAACTTCTATACTTTATAGCTGCAGTAGGATTTCTCTGTGTTTGAGTTCAGGATGACTTTGGTGTAATATGCCACTAACAGTTGGCAAATGTTAGAGGAACCCAGTTTCCACTAGACCTGATAATTTGGTGTAATATGCCACTAACAGTTGGCAAATGTTAGAGGAACCCAGTTTCCACTAGACCTGATAATTTAAAGATGGGTATTTTACATCAAAACAGTATTGGTACTCACTTTAATAATTGCATTTTTGTTAATCTGAATGATTTTGCTTCAGTGTTTAAAGCATCACTGATTATGTCTATTAACCAAGCAGCAGTCACTTTCCTACCAACCAGTTTCACCAGCTTTCTAGTCCTCAGAAAATTCTTTTTCTAAGGCGCTTTCTTGATCATCATTTTAAATGTATAGAATGACTATACTTGCTCATCCTTGTCCTCCTATTCCTTAACTTTGGGAGCTCACTAAATATTACAAGAACTATTACAAGAACTATAACATACCATATACATTCAGCTATTCTAGGTGATGAAACTGTATCATCCACTCTTTGAAGGAACTTCAACAGTCTTTATTGCAGTGGGTGTTTGCTTTAAAATGTATAAAATGGCAAATTACTGCAGAAGCCTGAATTCTTCCAAAGAATATTTATTTGCCTTAGACAGTGAAGCTAAGAGAATCCAATTTAACCTTCTGAGTAGATACTCGGTCTCCAGCAAATGGGTTCATACAAACTAGCCACAATTTCAAATGATACACAGTCCAGTTCTACAGTGACTTTATTTAAATCAGTTGGCCTATAGGTTACAAACTTATTCACTTGTAGTTCGACATGATTATGATTTCATTTCAAAGCACTTCCTCCACTGGTAATAGCTTCAATTGTTAGTCCTCTGTAAACAGCATTCGCACAAGATTGGGTTTAAAGCAATCTTCTTCCACCAGCTTCTGAGGCTGAAACAAAAGTCAGGAAACATTATTGCTTTCCAAGTATGATAGAACGTCCAAGTCCTTTGTAGAAGCATTCCTTTCTAAGTACTGTTGTTATATTGCTAAGTAACTTAATAACTACATGGCTTATTTTTTGATAAATAATTTTTTCCCAACTGCATACTTTCCAGTTCTTCTAGAGTTCCCACAATCCCTTTTTGGCCACTGGCTGGACTTTTGGAAGATACTAGAGTATATTTGCTGAATTACTCAGTTATCGTGGCTGACAAATAGTTTTATCTATTAAGACACCAATGGCTTTTGTTCAGAAAGCAGTTCTTTTTTGGACCCTTGTGAAATTTAATTTTGTATGATTTGTATATATAGGATTTTGTATGAATATATATAAGATTAGACCAAGTCTCTTACAAACAGAACTTATTTATAGGTTTACAGTTTTCAGTTGAGAGCAACATATACAGCCAGGCTTAAGAATGGAGAGAAACATTTGGCAATTCTGTTAAGCACTGCAGGCTTTTGACCACATTTTACTCTTTCCAAGCTAATTAGAAAATCTATATACTTACAGTTCCATATTTAAGAAGTGTAGGTACACCAGTTAAGCTAAGATTCTTCTTGAATTCATTATTGGGATTTTTCCAGCTATGGAGAAATTAAAATAATTGTTTTGTAGCTTAAAATATTCTTGAAAGTTGGAAGAAAACCATTTTTGTAATATTCTGTGTGAATAAGTTCACAAAAAAATGATGTTCCCAATGATATCCCATATTTGACAGACTACTGGGAAAGGCAAGCATTAGGTAAAAGTATGCTACACTTGATGTGATTCAGACAGGAAAATTTTTTTTCCCCTAACAATAGACTATTTAAATACAATGTGCTCAACCATAATCTTTTCAAACATTGCTGCATTTCAGAAAAAAAATGAACTTTCTGGTGAGGAAAACATTTTACAAGTTTTTGCCAAGAAATACACAGAACAGCTGCTATGTGTGGATATAAAATGAAAATAAACCGCAGCCAATTGCAGCTCTGTTATAATTTTGCAACCTGTTAGATTTAAACAATTAAAGCACTACAGCTGATCCAGAATGCAGTGGTACAAGAAACTGGGTGTGTTTCAGCATACCCATGTAATAATTCTGCTATGTGATCCTGTGCTTGGTTACAGTGACCTTCCAGGTGCAACTCAAGGTGCTGGTCATGGGCTACAAAGCCCTGCATGACATAGGGCCTGGATATTTTAGGGAGTGCCTTTCTCCAACTGTTTCTGTAAAATCCAAATGCAACAGAGTTGGCATGCTCTAGTCCCATCTTTTAAGCAGTGCTATCTTATAGGACCCAGTAGGTACACCTGCCATTTACAATGTGCTTTTAAGTACTCTTTCTGTTTCTAATCTTTGTGTGCTGTCCAGTGGGTGGGCGGCCCTAGAAATTTAAATTATACTTGGCAGATACAGCCAATTATTTGTTTTATTGTAAGCCTTCTAGAGTCACATAACAGTGAGATGAGCAGCTATATAAATAGAATAAATAATTCGGTTTTAGAGTACAAAATGGTAAAGTTCAGCTGATAAGAGCTGATCTGGCAGAGGAAAGCAAAGATAAGCAGGAAATGACTGCAGAGCAGGATCTGATCTGAATAGCCATTTGTCTCAGGGTGCACTTAAACTAAAGCCAATATTGCTGCAACTGTTACTTAGAAGGAGTTGCTTTATGTTTTTTGCTTATGTTTGAGGGCATTCTGCACATGGAAGGTTATAAACATCTTTACTACATTAAGACTCTCATACAATCTGACAACAGACTAAATCAGTGTTTCTCAACCTTGACAACTTTAAGACAGGTGGACTTCAAATGAGTTCAAGTCCACCTGTCTTAAAGTTGCCAAGGTTGAGAAACACTGGACTAAATGTTACTAACATTTTTATGAACTATGTACAGTGCTTATTGGGTTGGCTGAAACAACGTAACTCTATAATTACCATCTTTCTCAAATAGTCTTACTTACTAGTCTCTGGGTCCTACTTGGCAGTAAATGAATACAGATCCCTCTGGCAAGTTTGGGAGCTCAGCCCGTACAATGGGTTCAGCTAGAATTAAAAGAAAAGGATTAGGTTTCCAATGAGATCTTGCAGCAGAAACACTAATAATAGACTCTATACTGTGATTTTCATCTCCACACCCTTCTCCCCAGCAAAAAAGCCTTGTAGTGCCCGTTTCACTAGAACCTCCATTGAACTGGTTCCCATTCATGCTAGTTCATACCACATAGAGTGATGCCTCTATGTGCACGCACTAATAGACTTCGCATTTTAGATTCCTCAAAAGGGATCAAAGCATCCTTTTAAGGCAGGTCACCTACAACCATTTTACAGAAGAAGTTAGAAAGATTTAAATCTAAGGAAGAACATCTTGGTCAAAACCACCTTGCAGCTTACATTTATCTGAACGTAAGGAAAAGGCGGTGGAGAAAGCCGTACAAATATATGGAGATGAGATGGCTTACCTTTAATACAATCTGGGCACCAACTAACACCGCTGACTGGATCCTTGTCACCGCTAAAATAGACAAACACTTGGCCGCGCTGCTGCTGCTCGCGGGCGACCCGAACGAACTCGGCGTACCCGTGCACAGAAAACTCTTCCCAAACCATGGTGGAATCTCGTGTCTCCCTGGAAGGGCGGAAGTGTGGAAAACCGAAGAGGGAAAAGCAAGGGCCACGCCCCCCATATGACGGTGGCCGCCCGGGCCAAGAAGCTTCGAAATAGTTTGCAGGATTGGATTGAGGGCGCTGCGAATTTCTCGGGCAGGGAATTGGCTGTTATCTCCACCCGTTGTCCTCGGGCTGTTACAAGGCGTCCTTCAAAGCGCTGGTTGCCAGGGAAGCAAAGGGAGGCGGGATCGGCTCCGCTTGTGGCAGACCTCCGCCATGGCCCTTCTGTAGCCTTCTTCCGGTAACTGGTCAGGTTTGTCTCGTGTTCTTTCTTGGAGAGAGAAGGGGGGGAAAAAAAGAAAAGAAAGGGAATGTCGTCGTGATTTTTGCTGCCTGTCTAGGCTAAATGAGACCTAACGAAAAGTATAGCAGCAGCGAGGCCAAGTGTCTAGCTCCCTGCAGCGGCTAACCCCCCCGCCCCCAAAAAATGTATTGGCTGCAAATGCTGGTCAGAGATAGACTGTACTGTGCATGGAGGATCTGATTAACCTCTCCACTCCTGCTTATGTATCTCCTTTTTAAGACATTCGGGCTGTCATAAGTAAAACAAAGGTAGATCCAAGCTGGATCATGTGTTCATCGCCTTTCTTTCCCCTAGTGATCGTCAAAGCTTGGTGAACCTATAAAGCTTCCATATCAGGCATGTAATATTTTCTGAACTTTTTCTGGAAAGAAACGTCTACATCAGTATTTCTCAACCTTGGCAACTTTAAGCTGTGTGGACTTCAACTCCCAGTTGAACTGCTTAAAGTTGCCACGGTTGAGAAACACTGGTCTACATACTTGGGATTAATGTTTTTATTGATTGTTAAGAAATTTCAAAATATAATCAGCGTTTTTATAAGTAATTGTAGCAGATGATCAGGTACCCATAGTTGAATTCCTTTGTGTCTCTGATTACTGATCTACTTAGCTGTTTCCAGCTGGGGGGAAAACAAGATAATTGCATGGAATGGGATATCTGCCTGTTTTAGTCATGTGGCATGAAGATTAGCAGCTGGTGGTAGTCCCTGAACCACATCTGGCTCTGAGAGAGAGTCCCTCTTGTCAGCTTTAAAAGCACACAAAATGTTCACAAGGGTCACTTCCTGTGGCCTGGTGGGGGCCTAGGCCTGCCGTTTCCAACTTTTCTGCAAAAGTCCCCTGGCTGTGTGTCTGCCACATTCTCAAAGTATTTGTAAAGAAGAAGGGAACTGTAGCCCATCAATGCCTTTGCTTGGTTAATGACAGAATGATGGCATGTTTAGCTTGTAATACAAGGAGGGAGGGAAGCTTTACTCCTGATTTTCAGCTTTCTCCTTCATAATTATGTGTTGCTTCCAGATACCTGATGTTGGAGGCCAGCAGCAAGGAAGGGTTGTTCATTTTAGTGCTTTTTGAGAGACAGCTGACTATATAGACTTGCCTGAGAATTTATTTGTTGGTTGGTTGGTTGGTCAAATTTATATGGCCGCCCATTTCACACCAAGTGACTCTGGGTAGTGTACAATAAAACGAATAATTAAAACATTCTGCAAAACAAATTAAAAACAATAAACATAGGTAAAACAAAACCAAACAAAATGATTCTGTAACATTTTAAAAAGATAACCTTAACACTGGTTTCCTAAGCATTGTAAGTGCTGATGACTGGAATGCATTTCTAAGCATGCTCAGGGAATTAAAATTCTTATGCCTAATTAATTGAACAGTAAGAGAGTCTTTGAGCTAAGTAAACAGAATGTGTTTACGCTAATGGAAGTTCTCATATTTGCTGACTTTCAGTAACCACATAAACAACAGGAGATTGAGCTTCTGATAATTGTGATGGAGCTGCAAAAAGCAACCACAGTCAGTATTCCTCTGACATCCCACCCACAGCTGGCCAAAAGTGACACAAAGGCCCCACAGATACAGGTATCGGGTAACATCAGCATCCTCTGTGGATTTTTCTTTACATGATGAACTTCTAACTTGTAATAAGAAGCTTACCACTATGTATTCTAGTATTGCCAACTTCTCCCTTGTCATTTTTTTAATGAACCAATGAAGTGAGGGTGCTGGTTTCTAGGAACGCATTGCATGGGCTTTGTGTTTTCAGTACTAATTATTATAAACCCAACAAGTAAGGCTGTGTCTGGGTTTGTTTTCTGTTTTCTGCCTTTAAATATGTTTCATACAACCCCTTGCATTTTTCCATGTATGAACTGAGGTATAAGTCTTATTTAGACAGAGGTTGGAGGTTGCTCAGATAAACATGAGAGGGATCATAGAAACTTATGGCACACACCTGTCTTTCTTCCTTCCTTTTGCAGATGCTCTACCACAATTATTCTTGCTCTTCTAAAGTTTGTATAAGCTGTCTAGGCTATATAGCTGCCCTCTCGGGGAGATGCTAACAGATAATTATGTTGATATAAGTTGGATTATTTCTACAATACATTGTTTAGTTTTTAGTCAACTGGCTTGGGAAATAATTTAGGATTCTTGTAAGCTTCTTATTCCATGACTGCTCTGTGCATAGAAACATGAGTAGGCATAATAGCATATGTAGTGTTCTCCACTACCACCTTTAATCCTCACCACAATTCTATGAAGCAGCTTAAACTGCAAGGAAGTGACAGGCTCAGTTGTCCAATGAATTTTTTGGTTAAACAGAGATTTGCATTTGGGTGATTTTAACCCAATACTCACCTTGTACCACACTGCCTGTTTTAAATGTTTGGAACAGCTCCAGTTCAGTCGGAATGCTCCTGCATTGCCTGAAAACCTGTCTGTCCACTACACCAATCCCTGTCCAATTATCATAGAAAAGCTGAAGCAGCCAGTGACTCAACAGAATCAAGGTGATGGCGATGGACTTGAACTAAGGGGTTCTGTTGGATTCTCGGTTGTATCTGAAGAGAAGCTCAACCTGGCTGTCCAGTTGGCCAAAAGGGATGTGAAAAGAAAGCACCTGCAAGAGCAAGTGAAGCAGCATCCCACCAAGATGGATAAGTGTCCTCTGGGGTGTCACTGGGGAAAGGAATCAGGGAATGTTGCAGTGTTGAGACCATCTAAGTCCCACCTGAAATATGAACGCCAGCGTAGTAATCGTTCCAAGATGGAGACAACCGGCTCTGGAGCAAAAGTCCTCCTTTGTGCTCCAAGTCGTGTTACATCAGAGCCTGCTTTGTCTGATTCTCCACCAACACATGATCCAGGACCTGGGCCCAAAAAGGAGGAGGACAAAAATGCCATAGAGATCAGAAGGCTACAAAAAGAGCTTCAGAATTATATTCAGAAAATTGAACTACTAGCAACAAAAGGTAAATGGGAAAGGGCTGTAGTTGTGATATGGCCAAAACGTGATCATGTCTTCCTTTGGAAGTTAGGACTGCATGTCTCTGACTGGTGGAGCAGAAGAGTCTTCATTGATTTTGTCCATTTCCCACTGAATAGAGACTTTGAACTCGCTGCAACCAGTACTGTTGTAGCTAGTCCTGAGAAATGGGTGAAAGATTGACCTTACAGGGAAAGAAAGTTGTGAGAAGCAAACTGACAGCAAAGAACTATGAGTCTTTGTAACTGTTGTTCCTGACTTTCAGGACTTCTTTGTGAAAGTTCCCAAGTCTAAATGAAGCTTGTAAAGATGGCTTGAATGACTTGCCCTGCTAGCCATCTCCCATTCACTATAAAGGAATGTTCCTGATAGTAATGCTTGACCAGAGACCATTTTTTGCCAATGTTGGTAATCTTATAATCAGAGTATGTGCAGGATGCAGCCAGGTTCTCAGACAGATTAGAGCAGGGGTCTCAAAAATTTTATTTATTTATTTATTTATTTATTTATTTATTTATGTCTTAAATTTCTCCCCTGCCCATCTCCCCCCAATGGGGGACTCTGGAAAACTATAAATACATATAAATACATAAAACATAACAATTTAAAAAAACATTACTAAAAAAGAAGAAGAGAGTCCAAGAAGACAAAGGATCTGGGGCTGAAGACAGCAGGCCTCTATGGGGCTAGCCATCTCCACGCTTGAAGTATTCCCTCCCCACCCCAGCCCAAATTGTGGTCCATGTGTTGCATATGGCCCCCTTATTCATTTTCTGAAGCTTGCAATAATATTCTGTAGCACTGATCTTGAAAAAAAAAATACATATCAACACAGTAATAAAACCAAATATATGTGGCCAGAGTGAAACTGCTCTATTTTGCAGCTGTTTTGCAGTAATATATCTTTTTAATTTAATAATTGTATGCTTACTAGCATACTATGATACTTTCAGTTTCTTCATTTTTTTATTTCTTTAGACTTTATATCAATGTATGAAAAGGCTTCAGTGTTGTGCCCTTGGGCTAATGATCTAGTCCTCCTGTGGCATAATTTGAATTTAAGCCCCCTGGTTTTGAGGTTAGTTATGAGCTGATCGTTTGAACTGCAAGAACTAAAAAGAAAAAATCTTGGCAATCAGTTAAAAAATTCCACACTCTAGACAGTGAAGTGAGGAATGTTTGAAAATTGTTCTGACTTCTCTTGTGTAGATCTAAGCTGCTAGTATGGGATACGGGGCACTTAGTACATCTTTTGGAAGAGGAACATTGCATGGCATGGACATTTCTCTTCATTGTCTCTTCTCAGTTGTGATTTTCTATGTCATGTGTTTCATGTTTTCTGCACCAAATTGTTTGTTAGTAACTGAGTATAGTCAATTGTTTTGCTAAACTTTTTTTTTCCCAGAGAGAATTGAAAAATGTTTGGATCCTGAGGAAGAACGCCGTGTCCATATTCGGAGGCAGGAACAAGCTGTGCGCTCTGCCCGAATGCTCTATGTACTCCAGCAACAGGTCTGAATGATCCCTGGAAACTTTGGGAAGATATTTCAAATCCAAAATGGAGAATCAAAACAAGGCAGTCTGAACCAGATAGCTTGGTTCCCAAATCCAGGCTTCATTATACAGACAAAGCATTTTCCAAACTGCATTCTCTTGTTAATTTGTTTGTCATATTATCAAATAGGTAAAACAAATCCAAGAAGATCTGGAGAAGCTGAGTCCCCTTAAAATTAAACACACAAAGAAGGTGAGATGAAATTGCTTTAAAAGTTCAGGGGAAAACTGAGTGGTGAGGGAAAGGCTCAGTTGGAGCCTTTGGATTGGAGCCTCCTTGAAAGGTCCCTTTGGAGAGTAGTTGGAAGCATCTGGGTGGAGGATGGCTTTATAAACTTTGTGTTCAGTGTGCTCTTCACTCTGAGCTATATGATATTTCACTCAGGCCTGACATTTGTTTCTATTTTGTGTGTTGTCATAGCAGTCTGATTTTATGGTTTTCCATTTCAATCATTCTTCTGATACAGGTTAGAAATGCCAATCTTCTCCAATCTTGGTGTTTTGGATTGTGTGGGCTTCAACTCTCAGAATTTTCCCCAGTGCCCATTCTGGCTGGGGAGTTTGGGGAAATGAAATCCACGTGTCTGGCCAAGCTTGGAGAATTGTGACTTAGAGCCAAGCAGCTAGTGCTTGAAGACTGGGCTGAGTTGCTCTGGGTTTATTGACAAGAGACTACTTGATTCAAGCCAGAATTCTTCTTCCTTTGTGATGTAGTCACGAGCTCTGGCCAGGCTGGCAGCAGCTCACAGAGGTGCCATCCGAGCTCTGCAGATGTTTGTCACTCATTTTGCTGACTGGTCAGAGCAGCAGCCTGCCTCTGCTCACTGCAAAGAGCTGGGCGATCTCATCCGGCAGCTCTCTCTCTGTTCTGCCCGCCTCGAGATGGACTCATCCATTCCTGATATCATCATAGATCTGCTGCTGCAAGTTGAGGTCAGGAGAGAGTGGGTTTTTTCTTTGCTTGGCATCCAAGACACTGTGTAAAACTCTTTATGGGGAGAACAGATTTCCATCATCCAGAGAAGATGTGCCCCCCCCTCCCCGAAATAAGTGTTAAATAATGGCATGTTTTGGTATTTGGTTTCTAAGGGATGAGCTGTTGCTAGGTTCTTGAGCTACACATTTAATTAAGAATATTTTAAAATGTCTTTTTAAAAACTTAATGTGCTAATGAAATGTGAAATATAATTAAATTATCTTAGAACTATCCACACATAAATCCTGTAGCAGACAGTGAATACATTAGCTAGATAGCATTTTTCATCTAGTTGATCCAGAGGCCTATTGTTGGCTTTTTGTCAGTTAGGAAAGCAGAGCATCTACCTGAACTTTGCATTCTGTAGGATGGATTGTGGATGCTCAGCATAAGATTTTTGTATGTGTAACCTGATGCAAATTGCTACGGCAGGACCTAGATTCTGTGTTGTCCAAAAAGGAGTCTCCCAAGAAAGGGCAGGAATGGCTCTGCGTCTCTCAAGCTGATGCACCAAAAGGCACCAACAGATTGCCAAAAAGAGAAAAGAAATCTTGTGTGCTGGACCAAAAAAAGCCTTTGGTGGCCCGGAAACTTCTTCCTGGTGAGTCTTCTGGGTGTTGAATTGGAAGAAGTTTAGTTAGTAATTCCTTACAGATCTTGTTTGGCCCAAATTTATTTTTCCCCAGAAATGTTGAGATGGGGGATTTCTGGGTGAACTGATTATAACTTAACTTCTGACCCAATTGGATGTTTGGAATTGAGGGTGCACGTACTTCTGAGGAGGAAAAAAAATGGTCATTTGGATGTTTGTTATGTGAAGAGTCTCTGGCTTCCTCTTAAAATTATTCCCTCTGCTTTCCGTCCCTAGATCTTACTGTAATTAAGTCAAACGAAGTATGTTTGCCCCTGTTTTAAGTATGCCTCTGCTGCATACTTCTATTGTTTCTTGTCCTATGGTATGGAACTGTCCTTATCTGTTCTTTGTAAAGTGTCATGATCTTATATAATAAATTGATATATGGATAATATTGTTATAACAAATGACTTTAGATGAACATCCAGAATCTGCAGTCCTGTTACCACACAAGGCAATCAGTCACTGCAACACAAGAGCCCAGAAAGACATACTCCCTGAGCGAGAGGCAGTTGTACAGTACAAGGGGGAGGCCGTGGGGAGACCAGGACCTTTGAAAGCAGGCTCTGGTTCTGACAGTGGAGCCCTGAAGAAGAGAGGAGTCTTGTTTTCCATCAGACCTCAGGTACAGATATATAATCAACAGCTACTACTCCTCTTCCTTGTCTCTAAGCTTAATTTTAGGTGCTGTGAGACATTGTTTCTCCCATGATGTAATGTCTCTCCCCCCCCCCCCAATTACAGTGATTGAAATGAAGGCTTTATAATAGGTGTTGTTTTGTAGAAAAACTGCTAAACTTGTCTGAAAACACATATTACTTTAATGTTTTTGTTTCTCTAAAGGGTAGCTGTCGGCCTCCCAGAACAAAAACAGTGCGGCCTGTAGCCAAACAGGCCCGGTTTCTAGAACCCACCGTTGCCTTCCGACTCAAGGAGACCAAGCCACCCATCCGAGACAGTAGAGTCCCATGGATGCCTCCTAGTCTCAAGTCCCCCTTCCCCTCCCCTCTGCGGTAAGTTAGCACCCCTGCAAGGGCAGTTGTTAGGGGTGTAAACATCTGCAGCAGGTTATGCTGGGTTATCTATATGAACAGATGGCAATAACTTTCTTCAAGTATAGCTTCTGGGATTTTATTTGGAGGCTGGCTGAAACATTCAGGGCTGCTTTGTACTAAGATGGGCCAGGCATTTGATTCATTCGGTTCAAAATGATCTGCATTCTGCAGAATTTCAGATGTTTCCAGTGATCCCCTAGTGATAATATGGAGTGAACCTAGAACTCTCTGAATGTGAACTTAGTCATAGCCCTGTAGTCACCACTTTGGAGATCCTTTCTTGTGACTGTTACAATAGCAACCATCAGTGTTTTGTGAGGAGGTCCTCGTGTTCTTTTGAGGTTCATTCCTGTCCCTCTTTCTGAAATGCTTGAAGAAATGTTTCATTCACCAGCTGATGTTTACACCAATACAGTGGTACCTTGGGTTACGAACTTAATCCGTTCCGTGACTCTGGTCGCAACCCGAA